CGCACATGCCACGTCCTGTGAATGTCACAGACACAGCGTGCATTTTCCAAACCAGCGCACGAACACTAGCCTCGCACAGCCCAATCTCCAGCCAGCTCCAACAAGAGACACAGTATCAAAACGAGGGGAAGCACGGAGCGAGAACAGCTTAGTTAAGCCTATCTGCATTATGGGCTTATATAGTTCTGAAGCTCATAATGGCTGTACCAGTGACTAAAACTTCTGTCCTTCTCCTTTTTCTCTCTCATTCTTTCCCTCTGTTTCTTCTCCTCTCGCTCTAGGGTGGCCATATGAGCTGCACGGGGTCCCTAAAAGGGGGAAGAGAGACTAAAAAAATAGTGGTGGGGAGAGAGCGAGAGGAAGGGCAAAACTCTCCTCCCACTGAAAAGAGAAGGTGAAAAGGGGGAATAAAATGATGTCACCGGCAGCCAATAGGAAGTGTGTACTGTTGGAGCGCTGACCAGGGCTAACCAGGCCAGGCTTGCTCTCAGCTCTGGCCCCTGGCCTCTGGCCCCTATCCTCAATCCCGTGATCCCTGCGTCAGCCAGGCGACCTCACAGTTTGCCCCTCTCACTAACCAACAACAACACTTGAGGTTTTCCAAGCAACCCTCTCCATGAAGTACTTTTGGTTGTGTACCAGAGATTAGATAGGCTGTGTGTAGCCTCTGCTGCTATCCCTTTTTACTTTTAAGCTCTTAATATTGTTCTGTCAAACTTCATATCGGAAGTCAGTAGTGTAAAAAGTGTGGTATAATACCCCAGATTAACTTCAGTTATACTGCAAAGCTCGAACTGCGTTCACTCATTCTGAGGGAGAAACTTAGGTGACGTAACTCCTAATTTGTTAAAAGACCGTAAACAGTGACGTTTTTTATACCACTGGATGTGTAACTGCAGTACCTTATTTGGTGCTGTTGTTACCCAATGCTTAATGAGGACAAGCTATTATGAGTTCATTGTTTACGGCAATATAATAGCGTCTTAGTGTAATCAAAGCCGTTTAATCCTCACCATAACACATACCGGCTGTTTTTATTGTCCTCTAACAAAGGAGCATAAAGAAGAGTGCTAATATCTTGTCTCTACTGTTTGCATTCTGACGTGGCCTTTTGATAAAACGGGATGAAATTGGAAACAGAGGAGGGTATAACACTCTTAAATCTTTCTTGTGTAAACTATACAAAAGGAGTGTATCCTCTAATATGACTACACCTCTATAATGGTATCAGTGTGTAAACATGGCAGTAATTCAGTATGAGTAGCCTTTCTTCTCATCTGTATCCAGTGTCCATGAACGGCCAGAGAGCTCTGGGCTTTACAATAGATAGGCAGATAGGAAATCAGCAAAACAAGCATTGAACCCTTGATATCCATGTGATGTGAAAGACCCTAGGCTACGTCTCTTTCATGTTAAATGAAGCTTATGGTACTTTGTGTTGGGTACTTGGTCTATGTTATCATGGCCTACCTATTGATACAGTCAGGCTGAGGAGAACGTTATCAGACCATTACACTTGAAAGGCCTAAAATCCAAACAAAGCCCTTAGTGAAGTTGGGCAGACTATTTTTGTGCCCTATCTGAACAGATGTCAAGACCAGGCACAACTGCACTTGTTGACCCCTTGGCTGGTCCTTTTTAAAGAAGAAAAACATCCACACACCACCCATATGAAGCCTTGAGAAACACAATATAAAAATTAAATTACACTGGGAAAACGGGGCTCCCTGCCAGATGTCAGAACTTAAGTGGCCACCAACATTTTCTTGAAGATCGGAATGCCAGCCGGAGAAGTGGAAGACGCTTGCTGCTATCCCCATAACAGAACGAGACAGAGAAAGACAGTGAAATAGGCAGCAAAACAAAATGTATCTTGCCAAAGGCTGGTCTGGGTGTGCCAGCTGCCTGGCCATGGTCGTACCAGAGAGAGAGGGAGAAGGAGGGAGAAGGAGGGAGAAGGAAGGAGGGAGAGGGAGGGAGGGAGGGAGGGAGAAGGAGGGAGGGAGGGAGAGGGAGGGAGGGAGGGAGAAGGAGGGAGAGGGAGGGAGAGGAAAGATAAGAGAAGAGACTGCAGAGTCAGACATATCGCCCCGACAACCTCTGTTAAAGAGTGGCTCAAGACAACAGTACCGTCGTCTGGGTTAGAACACGCACAAACACACACACACACACACTGCAACTAAGCATTTAAGTATACTTTTTGGATTTTCTATCCACCAGCTGTCAGATTAGCAATTCACTAATGACATTATCAGTTTTTGTAAAGCACTCCCATTTTATCCAAATGAGGAGGCCTAGAGTGAATATGAACACAGCTTCATCCGCTTTTTAAGTGAGGGTAAATGTTTGTCTGCTTAATCAGGATTAGGGCTTCCTTGAAGTAAATGTAAAATACAGATGTCATTTTAAATCCAGATGTTGTGCCAGCAGTGTGTGCAAGCCGCAGTGCCAGGATGAAGTGTGTGTGCTGTGTGCCAATCGTACTGAAGCCTGCCGCAAAGCTGCAGATGGCTATCCACAAAAATAGGGCTTGGCAGCATCAAAACCGCCACAATCCAGAGGCTCTGATTGGCTCTGTGCTTGTGGACTCTCAGTCTCTGTTCTGTGCAGACAGCGTACTTACAGGCAGAGTAATAATCCAGTTAATGAAAAAGGACCGGTTTGTAGCCAAGGTGTTGGCCAGTTTTAGTATTAGCTTGTGTTGTGGTGTAATGTTCCCCTATAATGCTCCTAGTCTCTGACTCCTGCAGTCTAGGGACAGGGAGGTGCAGAGCCACACTGAAGTGCGTCACTCACGCCTCCTTCAGTCAGAACAAGTCATGGAGTAGGGGACAAAGGCCATGTGTAGTTATATTGTTGTGATTGGAGTCTTGCACAACTTAATAAAAAATGGGATATGCTATGGAATGTGTTAAGTGGGAGTATGGGGCATATCTTAGGTGAACATGCAGACACGTGGCAAGAAATCATGTGCTAAGTTGTTTTGGTTGCTTTGGATATAGGGAAATAGTACTAGTAATGGTGTATGTGGCTGTAGTGCTGGGAGGAGGGACTATATGGTAATGTTTTGGGTGGGGGTGTGAGGGACGGACTAGCCAGCCAGCCAACTAGCCAGCCAGCCAGTCAGCCAGACAGCCAGCCAGCCAGCCAACTCAGGGCTGCCAGGAAACACAGTGCATCTACTGAAGCAGATCTGGTAACTCAGGTATTTTTAGAAGCCACTTACAGTGAGAGGAAACACCTCTGAATCAGTGAAAAAAAGCCTGGTTTCTCGCTGAGTTTGGCTTTTCCCATGCTAATGTGTGTTTAAGCCAGTGAGAAGGCATGGCTGCTTTGGCCCTCCCAGATAGAACCTTGTGTGCCGGAATGCATGCTTCCCATGTTTGTGTTCTACCATGAATGTCATCATCATCATGCCTGACCAGAACAAAACTGCCAGTAATTTGATTTGCTCTTGCTGACGGTCTTTAACATGGCTATACATTCTTATGTGAATGGGTTTGCCAGAAAAATGCAGTATGCACTATATTCCCACAGTTTATTTCATGATACATTTTGTTGTCTGTCACAAAACAGGCATCTCAATAACTCCTTGATTTGAAAGCACTCTACATTGGAGGAGTGTGGAGATCAAATGACGAGCTGTCGTTAATTTGAGCAATGTCTTAGTAGGCAGGTTAGTCACACCGGGAGATGACAAGACGAGAAAACAAGAGTGAGAGGAGAGAGAGTTCCGTTCCAAACAGTTTTTCATTCATGACAACTTGAACTCAGTCGCCGTGAAGAGTCCTCAGATGAACTTGGAGATTTTCCAGAATTAATAAGGGAGACTGCTGAGGCCACTGTTTGGACTAAAAATAAGATCCAGAGGCATCCTCTGTCTGTCTGTCTGTGTCTGGGCATGAGCTGAGAGACTGGGCTGGGAGACTGGGATGAGAGACTGGGCTGCCTCATCTGTGAAGCCCATGACCTCACACAACCACCATGATTAGACAACACATTTAGGATCCAGGAAGGGTCCCCGTCAAATATAGGAGGCTCCAAACTTTCCCTATCTCTCTATGACCAGAATCCCTTCCTGTATATAATTGTGTAAGACTCACTGCTGATAGCTGATAAAGGTTAAATATGTTTCCACTCCCTGACTCCTAAAAGCATGTTTGATATTTCAGCCTTTTTGAAAAAAGTATAACAACAATATTTACAAATGTTTATGACAGAAGACGTTGTTTGTGGCACTATAGCTGCATAAGAGTAGGCCTATACTCAAAATGCTCTCCACTAAATGGTCTTTCACATGCATCTACGGTAGGAAAACAAATGTCTTTATAGTAATGTAGTGCATATGTGTAAGACAGCAACATTAGCAGCAGCAGCTCCTGTGGGCTGAGGCCTGAGGGTGGAAGGAAGGGGTGTGTGTTGTTGTGACTGAACGTGGGTGATGTGAAATGCCATGCATGCCTGAACACACAGACCAGCACATACCTCAGTGAAAAACACAGTGCTGGTCTTTAGTGGGCATGGGAGTGGAAGAGACTCAAAAACGCTGGGCTGGGAGGAATGAGTTCACGTACACCTGCAAAACACTGAATATACGTTTTTCAAGCTTTCCTGAGCCAGCTGTCTGCATGAGAAAACTAGATCTGGCATGATTGTAGACGCTACAGAGTTTGACCATAAAAAAAGACTGTTTAAAGCAAAACATGTAGGCCTACAGTAACTCCATAAACCAACAGGCGGATGTTGTGTCTGTAAATGTGCAAAACATCTGATTAAATCGGCCCATTTGAGCTAGTCCTTGAAAACGCTTTGCTGTAATAGCAACGGTAGTGTTGGATTTGTTGGTGCTGTTTGCCTTTGGCTGTTCTAGGCTGAGTGTAGGAAGGAAGCATCCTCTCTAGATCTGGCTCGCTGTGCTGATGTGCTTTAAACAAGTGTCTAGAGTGATCCGCTGGGGGGCTCCAGGGGAGGATCGGGTTGCTGGATGAGGATGTGGCCTGATGGAGCCCAGGGAGCTGGGGGTCGGGGAGGACTCAGACTGCAGGCTGCAGGAGCTACACAGGCCTGGTGGGGGCGGCTGGGCCAGACGGCTGCAGACTGCTGCTACTGCTCTTGGCTCTGCTGGTAATCTTGAGACGGAGAGCTTTGACACTGTTTACAAAATGAGTGGCTACTGTATAGATGGTCTTGGTGTATGGAAAATACAATAAATGGATGCATGCAGATTATGTGAACTGTTAATGGATCCATGTTAATAGAGCAAGGAAGGAGATAACCAATCTAATCGAACATATGGTACATTTGATTTGCCACAGATGTAGGCTTGTTTCCAGGTCAGATGACACACAAGCTCACATTTCATTACCATTCAAAGATCATGGTTGTGATTAGATAATGAGTATACTCCTTTGATACTCTTCTCTCAGCGTTTTTGGCCCCTAAAACATGCAGGTTTTGTTCCAGCAAAGGCAAAATAACATCCTCTACAACAAAGGGACTGGTCTTTTGAGTTTAGAAGAGTGATATTGTATTGTATTGTATCAAACAACATATTTTCAGGTTTTTCCTGAAAGTACAGTCACTGTATGCTGAAAAGGGCATGTTTAATCACCATGGTTACAGCTCCCCCTCCCACTCCCCTCACCAGAGAAGAATTGTTTACCATCTCTACTCCAGACTCAATAACATGCCAATCATCCAGAACCGCCCCTGCAAGTCTGTTATTAGTCCACAAGAAATCTCTCCCAGTTACACCCCCTCAAACTCCTCCCCCGTAAATCATGAATCTTTTCCCAACTGTCTGTTGCACACGTCGCACATCCTATTCATGACACTGGCAAATTGGATATCCATGATTATAAGAATTTATTTAATAATAATAATAATAATCCAATGTGTATAATAATGTGTTATTTTTATTTAATAACTGTTATTTTTGTTATTACTATAGTATTATATTTATTGTTTTTATTTCTGGCCTTGGAAAGCATAGATATTACAAAATCGGAAACTAAATCAAAGTGTATTGGTCATGTACACAGACTTTCAGATGTTATCGCAGGTGCAGTGAAATGCTTATGTTTCTAGTTCCAACAGTGCAGTAATACCTAGCAATACAATACAATACATACATAATCCAAAAAGTTAAAAGAAACCATTTATAAATATCAGAATGAGCAATGTCAGAGTCCGGAATATAAATACAGTTGAAGTCTGAAGTTTACATACAGTGGGGAAAAAAAGTATTTAGTCAGCCACCAATTGTCAAGTTCTCCCACTTAAAAAGATGAGAGAGGCCTGTAATTTTCATCATAGGTACACGTCAACTATGACAGACAAAATGAGGAAAATCCAGAAAATCACATTGTAGGATTTTTAATGAATTTATTTGCAAATTATGGTGGAAAATAAGTATTTGGTCAATAACAAAAGTTTCTCAATACTTTGTTATATACCCTTTGTTGGCAATGACACAGGTCAAACGTTTTCTGTAAGTCTTCACAAGGTTTTCACACACTGTTGCTGGTATTTTGGCCCATTCCTCCATGCAGATCTCCTCTAGAGCAGTGATGTATTGGGGCTGTCGCTGGGCAACACAGACTTTCAACTCCCTCCAAAGATTTTCTATGGGGTTGAGATCTGGAGACTGGCTAGGCCACTCCAGGACCTTGAAATGCTTCTTACGAAGCCACTCCTTCGTTGCCCGGGCGGTGTGTTTGGGATCATTGTCATGCTGAAAGACCCAGCCACGTTTAATCTTCAATGCCCTTGCTGATGGAAGTAGGTTTTCACTCAAAATCTCACGATACATGGCCCCATTCATTCTTTCCTTTACACGGATCAGTCGTCCTGGTCCCTTTGCAGAAAAACAGCCCCAAAGCATGATGTTTCCACCCACATGCTTCACAGTAGGTATGGTGTTCTTTGGATGCAACTCAGCATTCTTTGTCCTCCAAACACGACGAGTTGAGTTTTTACCAAAAAGTTATATTTTGGTTTCATCTGACCATATGACATTCTCCCAATCCTCTTCTGAATCATCCAAATGCACTCTAGCAAACTTCAGACGGGCCTGGACATGTACTGGCTTAAGCAGGGGGACACGTCTGGCACTGCAGGATTTGAGTCCCTGGCGGCGTAGTGTGTTACTGATGGTAGGCTTTGTTACTTTGGTCCCAGCTCTCTGCAGGTCATTCACTAGGTCCCCCCGTGTGGTTCTGGGATTTTTGCTCACCGTTCTTGTGATCATTGTGACCCCACGGGGTGAGATCTTGCGTGGAGCCCCAGATCGAGGGAGATTATCAGTGGTCTTGTATGTCTTCCATTTCCTAATAATTGCTCCCACAGTTGATTTCTTCAAACCAAGCTGCTTACCTATTGCAGATTCAGTCTTCCCAGCCTGGTGCAGGTCTACAATTTTGTTTCTGGTGTCCTTTGACAGCTCTTTGGTCTTGGCCATAGTGGAGTTTGGAGTGTGACTGTTTGAGGTTGTGGACAGGTGTCTTTTATACTGATAACAAGTTCAAACAGGTGCCATTAATACAGGTAACGAGTGGAGGACAGAGGAGCCTCTTGAAGAAGAAGTTACAGGTCTGTGAGAGCCAGAAATCTTGCTATTTTGTAGGTGACTAAATACTTATTTTCCACCATAATTTGCAAATAAATTCATTAAAAATCCTACAATGTGATTTTCTGGATTTTTTTTTTCTCAATTTGTCTTTCATAGTTGACGTGTACATATGATGAAAGTTACAGGCCTCTCTCATCTTTTTAAGTGGGAGAACTTGCACAATTGGTGGCTGACTAAATACTTTTTTTCCCCACTGTACACTTAGGTTGGAGTCATTAAAACTGGTTTTTCAACCACTCCACAAATTTCTTGTTAACAAACTATCATTTTGGCAAGTCAGTTAGGACATCTACTTTGCATGACACAAGTAATTTTTACAACAATTGTTTACAGACAGATTATTTCACTTATAATTCACTGTATCACAATTCCAGTGGAGCAGAAGTTTACATACACTAAGGTGACTGTGACTTTAAACAGCTTGGAAAATTCCAGAAAATGATATCATGGCTTTAAAAGCTTCTGATAGACAAGTTAAACAATTTAAAGGCAATGCTACCAAATACTAATTGAGTGTATGTAAACTTCTGACCCACTGGGAATGTGATGAAAGAAAGAAAGAAAATAAATAAATCATTCTCTCTACTATTATTCTGACATTTCACATTCTTAAAATAAAGTGGTGATCCTAACTGACCTCTAAGACAGGGAATTTTTACTAGGATTAAATGTCAGGAATTGTGAAAGACTGAGTTTAAATGTATTTGGCTAAGGTGTATGTAAACTTCCGACTTCAACTGTAAATAAATATATATAAATGATATATGGCTTTAAATTAAATTCCATCAAATCTGTATCCAGTTAGATTATTTTACTATTTTACTATTTACTTTGTGATAGAGCAAATACAGATGCATGCACATAGAATAGGCTACTATTCTATGGTTGTGCAGCATCGTTGCGTGCGGGCTGCAAACATGTCACTAGTCTCCCCAGATGTAAACACTGTAGTACTAGTCTATGCAAGTACCCTGGTTCGAGCGACATCACATGTCATGCATTCAAATAACCCAGAGGATGATTGGTGCACAATGCTCTTTTCAAGGATAAGTGTTGTAAAAAAAAAAAAAATGAAATCCTGTTATAAAATATTAAGAATATGAACATCAAACGGTGAAATGTTATTTTTCCCAAAAATGATTCGTCCTGTGGGAGAAAAACATGCGTCAATTGAAACCTCGAGTCTCCTTATCAGAGTGGAGCAGAGCATTTTGTGACAGACAGAGAGCGAGAAAGAGAGGGGAGGGGGCCGTCGGCAGGACGGTGGGTCACATCATGTTCCCAAAGGCTACAAAACCCAACAGCTCCCCATGATTGTGAGCCCTCTCGATGCAAGGATCTAACCCTCTCTCTCTGATGCAGATGCTGCTTGTCAGCCAAACCTATGTTTGTCTCAGACCACTTATCTGCATCCTGGCCCTGCAGTTGCATTCCTGCAGCAAGATGAACATTCTCATCCCTCTACTACAGTGCTAGAGGATATTCAGGGTTTATTATAGCCTATATTTGAGACTAGTTTCTTGAAGTTTGTTATTGTGTTGGTGCAGAGGACAAAGGGGTTAACATTCTACTCCTTGATTACTGAGCTGCCCAGAACACTCTGGGGATTCTTTACATAGGCTCCTCCAGACCACAGGCAGCAACATATTACAGGAAAAACATCCAAGTGGGTCATTGGGCTTTTATACAGCATGTATGTTTTCCAGTCTGTTACAGCACTGATTTTACTGTAGCTCTTCGTTCATTCTCAATTTATTACGTGGAGGGTACTGGAATGTGTGGATGTCTCTGTGGTGAGCTCTCTCTCTCTCTCTCTCTCTCTCTCTCTCTCTCTCTCTCTCTCTCTCTCACTCTCTCACTCTCACTCTCACTGTCTCTCTCTCTGTCTCTGTCTCTCTCTCTCTGTCTCTCTCTGTGTGTGTGTGTGTTCATTGTGTTGTTTACTACAGAGGAGATGGACCGTGCTGCTCCTCACGTTGCAGTGATTTTGCAGCGGGGGCAGGCTGGGCAGCTGCAGTGTCTATGGCGTCTGACCTGACGGTTTTCACTGGGAGAGAGGAGGGAGAGAGAGATTGTGCAGGGATAAGAGTATGGTACAAAACCCCTACACCCACTCCCCAACCCTCTGCAGCAGGAGTGTGTTGTCAGCTCTCTCCTCTACTGATGGTCACACATGACTGGGCACGACAACAATTTACAGCTAACTTAGATAATATTGTCCAGCCCATTAAGAAAGCTAAGCCCAGTGTTTGGCATGTATTATTCCAGTATCATAATGAACTCTTGAATTATTAATGAAGGATAACTGAAAGTGCACTTTTTATACTGTATCTATTTACATTTTAGCCTCAATTCAGTGATATACATGTAAATTGTGATTAATCTCCAATAGATCCAATACTGTGCAATATAGAGCATTACTTCCTGATAAGGACTATTGGGCCTAACTAACTCCTAAAATGATGAGACATGCTCTCTGACCAGTCCTGCGTGGAGCCCCTTCCTTGTTAGGCAGTCTGGTGGTCTCTTCCCTTTCCTCTGAAGCAGTGGAAACCCACAATGTCATGCATAGCTGTGTGTAGAGTAGAGTAGCGTGGAAATAGGCTGGCTGCACATCTATAAATAAAGGATTGTATCCTTGATACCACGGGTTGTTTGTTCACACAGGGAAATGGTCTTGACTTATATGGATTGTGAGGCAGCAGCTCCCCCCTCTTCCTCCCAGCGGAAGGTATGCATGTTTGGAATTTCTCTTCATTGAGGAATCTGTTCAAATGATGCGGATCCTCTCCCAACGAGGCCCCTTTGAGCTTGCCTGGGCTGCCCCCTTTTGGTAGAGTTCCAAGAAATTAATGGCTTCCTGTTTGTTTTTTTCTCTCTCCCTGCTTTTTTCTCTCTCTCTGCTCACCTCTATCATGAAAATACGGGAATCAACTCCGAGATCAATGACTAATATGTGTTGGCATTGGATAGGCTAGTTAAAGGAAAAGCATTTGTCTTCATGGACTAGGTCCAGAATGGCTGGGTATTTATGGAGCATTGAGCCAGAGCCTGGTTAGAGAGTTGGAATTGGAACGAGGAACAGTGCATCTATATATAGCTCATAAAAGGGCCATTTGGCTATTTAAGGAAGTGTAGTTCTCATTTACCACCCATACTCATTCCACTGTATCTATGCTGTGGTAGGGTTTATGAAAGGTTTTCCATCATCTCATTCACTCATGTGTGCTAAAGGTGAGGGGCTGATCAGTAAAAAACAAATTATCTCATACTGGATGGCAATAAATGAAGTGATTAGCCTAAGTTTTGGCTAAAGGTATCAGAAGAATTAAAAAGGATCATGGCTGTGTTGTTTTAACCAAACAGCTGAAAATGTTAGTATTTTTTGTTCTGTTTTTCTGTTGATTACAAAACTCTGATGGAATGTTTGCATAACCTCTTGTATGTTCAGCTTGTGATTTGACCAAATGTGAGAAAGAATCTCAACTATTTGAGAAATGGTTAAGAGTGGGAATGATGAAAGAGTGTCCTCCCTTGTGAGGAGGATAAGTGCTATGCTAGTTTCTACTGTGGGAGTATAATGTGTTTGCTCTGCAGCATTGCTGTAGTGCATTGTCACGTTCTTCTTAACTTACACTGATGTTTGGTGAAACAGCATGAAATATTCATGTTGAGATTAGTTTAGCCCCACTCCCTTTCTCCCCTGATTCACAAAGCACCGCTGATCTTCTGACACCAGACACATCTTATACAAGCAAACAATCTTGTCTCTCGAAAAAACACCCCTACTATACTCACTCTCTCTCTCTTTCTTTCTTTTTCTCATACTCTTTCTCTCTCTGCATCACACCCAGTATACACCTAATCGAGGCTCATTCTATATGTCAGTATGCAGATTCATTACCCAAATAAACACAATAGTGCTGAGGCGTGTATAGGCCTGAACAGACAGGCCTATACACATGTGTATGTGTGTTTGGCTGTGCCCGTCCAGCCTGCAGCGCTTGGCGCCAGGAGGCCTTTGCTAAGCAACCAGGAGTGTCGTCGTGTCGCTCGCCGTTGGCCTTCTCAGTTGGAGTTGGTATTTTACTAGCTAGATCCTCTTCAGACAGGGGACAATCATTTGCAAAAAGCACTGGGTCACCAAGAGCTCCTCCAAATCAATTCACTTGGGTCCACACCCGGGCCTGTCTCTGTGTAGTAAACTTCCCTTGGCCTCCAGATTAGAGCGCCTGTCATTGTGGATGAGTTACCATGGGGATATGCTGCCTCACTTTCCCTCATGCATCCCTGGGCTCCTGAAAAAGTAATTTTCCCTTTCCTGACTAAACTCAGGTGACCTTTAACACATTAGAACTAGTGAGTCTCCTTTCCTCCTCTTCTCCTGCTGGAGACATCACCAAATAGCACGTAAGGATTATAATAAGCAGTACTAACTATGGGTTAATACCACTTAGGTCTAAACATCTTACAGCACAGGCCTAATACCTGGGCGGATATTCAGAGCTGATTACAGGCGGATTTAAAGTATAGTCTTGTAGTTGGAGAGTTGATAGGGCAGCAAATCCAATGGACTGTTTCGAGCCTGTCTTTCCTACAATTGTAACCAAAGTCAGTGTCTGTCTCAACCAGAGGGAATGCTTTGTTATTGATACCACATTGTTGTGCGGTTCAGTCCCTTTGCTATCCTCAGTAAACACTGACTATTCTGTTATTCATGTCGCTAAAAGCTTAATTTGAAACATGCCAGTGTTCTCCACATAATAATTTTACTGTTGATTTTCTCACGGTCCTGAAGGAAGTTCATCTGTCTTGGAAGCTGCTCTGGTAGTTTGGATAGGAGTTCTGAGCTCTGTAAGTGGCGTCATTTTTGTCCCTAGTTAAGGAATAATATTGGTAAACCAATGAAATACATCAATGTTGTTTCTCAAGCAATTGACTGAAAATCAGACAGCTCTGTCTCTGTCTAGCTGTCTGATGAGGGTTTTTTCTCTTGTCTTGGGTGGTAGGTCCCTTAATAACAAACATACTTGAATAAAGGGATGCACTGTAATCTGGTAGGGGCGCACTGTACTGTGCGCCCGTAGGTTCTTCTCAGTGGGACCTCATCCTGGAGCCCTCCCCTGCTCCTGGAGTCAACGGCAATCCATCTACTGGCGAGACAACCGCATTATTTCTCTCTCCTCTCTCTTTCCCTTCCCTCAAATTCCCTTTAATAGTCCCAAACAGCAATAATATGTATCTGTAGTGGGGCCAGCTCTGCAGTTTACTAACAAGGCTGGCATAGAGCAGCGTGGGGCCCTGCGCAAACATTCGACGCCCTGACGGCACACCGCTTCCTCTCTGACAGCGCTCTCCAGCTCCCCAGCTCTGCTCAGCGATTACCATTTTACAGCCCACTAATCCTAATGCCTGCCTCTCCTCGACCTCCAACGATCACAGAACAGGCTAGGCACGCACACATAGTGTGTAAACGCACACACACACACATGCACACACACATGCACACACACACACACACACACACACATACACTTAATCCGAGTCTCATCATGTCACCTATCCTCACTCCTGTCCTCAGAACACTTGATATAGATCTAATAATAGTTCACCCATTTAACTGTTTTTCCTCTCCAGGGAAAGAAGCTCATAAATGTATTCCGGTCTAAAAGCCTTTTAATTTATTGTATTTTGAGACTGTATATGAGCTTAAACAGTGAGCTGTGCTTTATCTGTTAGCTGCATTAGTGTGTTCCCTCTCTGACCCTGTCATCCAGACCTATAGTAATATGGTGACTGTTTACTCTGACCCAGTCATGTCATCTCACTAACCTGTTTCTCTCTGTCTGTGTTTCTTCCAGTGTGCCCAGAGAAGAAGTGTGAGCGGATGGCATGTACGGACGGTGGAGAGTGTTGCCATGCCCAGTGCCTGGGAAGCTGTACGGAGCCGGACAACGACATGGCCTGCGCAGCCTGCCTGCACTACTACCACGAGGGCCGCTGCGTACAGGACTGCCCCCCAGACACCTACAAGTTTGAGGGCTGGCGCTGCATCACCATGGACCTGTGTGCCCGCGTGCACCTGCCCAGCGACTTTGACTTTGTCATCCACGAAGGAGAATGCATGCCTGAGTGTCCATCAGGCTTTACACGAAATGAGAGCAATAGGTAAGAGAGCAGAGATCACACTTCACCTCAAGGGCTCTAAAGGGATCTCCAGGATCAAGCATGGTCCTGGTTATGAGTCATCTATACTATTATATACAGCACTATTTTGATTTCCCTCCAGTCATTGTGATTGTATACAGTCCTCTGGTTGTGGGGTGTCTTTCTAGCCCTGTGGGTGTTTTTTTGCGTTATGAATTTGCATGCAGAGGTCTTCTGAATAATTCACCTCTATTTGAACGCCTTCCCCACCTGGTCCTCTCAGAGAGTCAATTCTTAAAGAGAAGCTTCAGAGCTAAAAATGCTTCAGGCAGAAAGTCATGCTAGGTCATGAATGATTGAAGCCTGGGGACTTTCCATGTCATTCAGAATCAGAGGAAGATGCTGATCTCAGTGCCCGGTATACAAGACTCATCCATTGGTGAATTTCCGTAAGATACAAAAAATACTTTTGGAACGTTGCTTGAAGGCGTTCAGGAGGGATTCATCATAGCAACGCTGTAACTCGGGACATTTACCCCATTTGACATTTCCCCTGTTTGAATAAGAGAATGTCTTTGTTTGTGACTCAGGGTAACTTGTCTCCATATTTTGATTTTCATTCTCCAAACATTCCATGTTGAGTCGTTGTTGCCATATATTTGTGGCCATATCAGTCTTTTTTTGTTGTCTTTGGGGCCATTTAGTGAGTCACTCTCTCACTAAACCAAGGGTTCAATTAAGGACTCATAAAAGATTACACAGTTCACAAAGAAAGTGACCTTGTATTTCAAAGCAAAAATTAGACACATTTTTTAAATTTTTGGGTAGTTAGGGTGAGGCATCGTAATCTTGTTTCTTGGAAATTGTAGTTTTGTAAAGTTTTATTTGGTTAAGGACATTCCTTGACTGTTTTCCCTCTTCTCTCCCCCTTCTCTCTCTTCCTCAATCACAGTATGTTCTGCAGTGCCTGTGATGGCCTGTGTGATAAGATCTGTGACTCCAAGACCATCGACTCAGTGGATGCTGCTCAGTCTCTAATGGGCTGCACAGTCATCAAAGGCAACCTGCACATCAACATCCGCCGTGGCAGTGAGTACCAGTACCAGTACCAGTAACCAGGACCACTCAGTCTGTCTGTCTCCCAGTGACCGGGAGGGGGGCTCGGAGCCGCTGGGAGAGCTAGTGTGGGCCGCAGAGTCAATATTACATCAGCTGCCTGCTCTGTGCCCCATACCAATTATCACATTATGCTATTATGCTATTTATTTGCTCAGTTTACAGGGTGACTTACAGCTTATCTTTAGATATGAAAATGTTTGTACAACTCTGGATTTGCCGGGGCCGGGGTAATTCTCCTCTAGAGCATTGAGCATAGACGTAGTAGTAGTACAGTTGCCTGTGGGATTTGATGTGTTCAGAGCTGGGGTTCTCACACGCTGACTGTTGTGTCTGAGTATGTGTTTGCTAACTCTCCACTCTCCTCTCTCCAGATAACATCGCCTCAGAGCTGGAGAGCTTCATGGGGCTGATCCAGACAGTGACAGGCTATGTGAGGATCCGCCACTCCCACACGCTAGGCTCGCTCTCCTTCCTCAAGAGCCTGCGCTACATCAACGGGGAGGAGCTCACGGAAGGGTACGGCAGGCTGCTCTCTGAGTCCGAGCTGTGTTTGGGGATTAGAGGACGTGTCAGCCTTGAACCACAGCCTAGACAGGAAGGATGTTGTCACTTTAATATCAGCGAGGTTCAGCCATACAGTGGGGAAAAAAAGTATTTAGTCAGCCACCAATTGTGCAAGTTCTCCTACGTAAAAAGATGAGAGAGGCCTGTAATTTTCATCATAGGTACACGTCAAATCACATTGTAGGATTTTTTATGAATTTATTTGCAAATTATGGTGGAAAATAAGTATTTGGTCACCTACAAACAAGCAAGATTTCTGGCTCTCACAGACCTGTAACTTCTTCTTTAAGAGGCTCCTCTGTCCTCCACTCGTTACCTGTATTAATGGCACCTGTTTGAACTTGTTATCAGTATAAAAGACACCTGTCCACAACCTCAAACAGTCACACTCCAAACTCCACTATGGCCAAGACCAAAGAGCTGTCAAAGGACACCAGAAACAAAATTGTAGACCTGCACCAGGCTGGGAAGACTGAATCTGCAATAGGTAAGCAGCTTGGTTTGAAGAAATCAACTGTGGGAGCAATTATTAGGAAATGGAAGACATACAAGACCACTGATAATATCCCTCGATCTGGGGCTCCACGCAAGATCTCACCCTGTGGGGTCAAAATGATCACAAGAACGGTGAGCAAAAATCCCAGAACCACACAGGGGGACCTAGTGAATGACCTGCAGAGAGCTGGGACCAAAGTACCAAAGCCTACCATCAGTAACACACTACGCCGCCAGGGACTCAAATCCTGCAGTGCCAGACATGTCCCCCTGCTTAAGCCAGTACATGTCCAGGCCCGTCTGAAGTTTGCTAGAGTGCATTTGGATGATCCAGAAGAGGATTGGGAGAATGTCATATGGTCAGATGAAACCAAAATATAACTTTTTGGTAAAAACTCAACTCGTCGTGTTTGGAGGACAAAGAATGCTGAGTTGCATCCAAAGAACACCATACCTACTGTGAAGCATGGGGGTGGAAACATCATGCTTTGGGGCTGTTTTTCTGCAAAGGGACCAGGACGACTGATCCGTGTAAAGGAAAGAATGAATGGGGCCATGTATCGTGAGATTTTAAGTGAAAACCTGCTCTAGAGGAGATCTGCATGGAGGAATGGGCCAAAATACCAGCAACAGTGTGTGAAAACCTTGTGAAGACTTACAGAAAATGTTTGACCTGTGTCATTGCCAACAAAGGGTATATAACAAAGTATTGAGAAACTTTTGTTATTGACCAAATACTTATTTTCCACCATAATTTGCAAATAAATTCATAAAAAATCCTACAATGTGATTTTCTGGATTTTTTTTCCTCATTTTGTCTGTCATAGTTGACGTGTACCTATGATGAAAATTACAGGCCTCTCTCATCTTTTTAAGTGGGATAGCTTGCACAATTGGTGGCTGACTAAATACTTTTTTGCCCCACTCTATATGCGACCAGGGGAAATTATATGTGGGTGATTTAAATTCATTTTTGGAACCAAACTCCTGCACTTATACATATTCATTATGTTTCTTTTGTCATGTGTTATCTCATGGTAGATGTATCCCTGACGGTTTTGAACGCCTTGTGAATGATTTTTATATGTGGCTAGAGTAAGTAAGGTTCCAGCCATAACATTTTCAGTCAGGAATTCACACAAAATCACCATAAGACAACATGGCACCTCTCCTTGTGATGTAATGAAAAGGTGGATGAGCTATCTATTTGAATGGAAACTCTCAGGTCTCCCAGCCTATTCTGGCTGTAGCATGACATTACAGGGGCCTATCCCCTGTCAGAGATAGGGAGAGTGTTTCTGGAGATGACCAGGAGGGTCTTGGGAAAGCCTCTCAGGCCTCGTGTTGTCATCCCTCCCAGGCTAGAGTTACAGCAGGAGGAGTGCTCTAGAGCAGCGCTGGCATTCTGCTCATTCCCGAGGTGTTCCATGGAGCTGAGAGGCTCTGCGTCGCCCTGTTTCATCTCTGGCCCTCTCTGTGTGCACGGCTCAGTGTTAGACAGACACAACCACACACTGACACCCGATCCACTTCTCTTCACACTTTATACATCCACAAGATGGAAAACTAAGCCAACCACTCCACAACATTTTGACGACTTTATCCTCAGTGCTCCATTGTGTGTTTAAAGTAAATAAATGGATTGAAAGTGGTTTGGCCTTATTTATGCCCACAGCACAGCTACTAGGTGTCTGAGGAAGTTAACCTGTCTGTTGTCTCCCCGTCAGGATGTATGCTTTTTCTGCCATCGACAACCAGCGCCTGCAGTACCTGTGGGACTGGACCCAACACAACCTGACCATCAAGGCTGGGAGGCTGTCCTTCCGCTTCAACCCCAAACTGTGCATGTCTGAAATACACAAGATGTGGGAGAAGACGGGCATCACCGAGAAGTTTGAGGAGGACGATTTCCGCAACAATGGGGACAGAGCCAGCTGTGAGTACACCACTGGACATATGGAGTGGGATTACTTTAACTTTCTATGCTCATTCAGTACTTGAATTAATACAATGTAGTACTTTATTATATCACTATTGAGTTTCCTGTAAGGGGGATATCTAAGATGTGGTTTGTGTTTGTAGGTGAGAGCCACATCCTGAAGTTCAAGTCCAACAGCACGATGAGTAACCGGATCAAGCTGACCTGGGAGCACTACAGACCACCAGACTACAGAGACCTCATCAGCTTCATTGTCTACTACAAGGAGGCGTGAGTACTCTCATAAAACACACACAGATATTACACTGTTTTACTATAGAGCCTTTATACTTGTACAAAGGATATAATGTAATATGTTTGTGTAGTCAAAGTTACAGAAGGTTGTGTTTTTCATGCATTCCAGACCGCACCAGAACATCACAGAGTTTGATGGCCAGGACGGGTGTGGCTCCAACAGTTGGAACATGGTTGACGTGGACCTGCCTCAGGACAAAGAGATAGACCCTGGCGTGCTGCTGTCCCCACTGAAGCCCTGGACCCAGTACGCCATCTTTGTCAAGGCCATCACCCTTGTGGTGGAGGACAAACACATCCCGGGAGCCAAGAGTGATGTGATCTATATACGTACCAGCCCCTCGGGTAAGACAGTACTAGGCTACAGTACAGCTTATGTAAACAGCACCAGGTCGCCTCAGCCATGGACATGTTTTCACCCAACTAAGATAAACTGAAAGACTTCTTATCAGAACTTGATCAAATGTATCACTCTTATTTAACGCTTCATGAAAATGACACATTTTAAACTGTATAGTAAACACATTTGTGTGTTTTTGTGACAGAGCCGTCTATGCCAATGGATGCCCGTGCATATGCCAACTCGTCCTCAAAGCTGGTGGTGAAATGGTCACCTCCCCTCAACCCTAACGGCAATCTCACCTTTTACTTGGTCCGCTGGCAGCAGCAAGCTGAAGACAGGGAACTGTACCAACACAACTACTGCTCCAAAGGTCAGCATTCCAACCCCTCTTCTTATCCACCCCGTTCTGTATTTCTATCTGTGTGCATTATGGAGTCCTTATAATAGATTTTTTCACTATTTCTCCAAAACAAGTACTGTATCTGTTCTCACCTTGTATTCAAATCCCCTGTAGACACCACCTTATTCCCCTTCTGTTTGTGCTTTCTTTGGTGAATGTTATTTGCTAACGTGTCCTATTCCCCTCCCACTGTACAACAGAGCTGAAGATCCCCATCAGGATCTCAGCCACGGGATTGGCAGACATGGAGGAGGACACCAAGCCCACCAAGTCTGACCTGTCTGGGGGGGACAAGGGCCCCTGCTGCCCCTGCCCCAAGACCAAGGAGGACCTGAAGGCAGAGATAGACGACGCCTCCTACCGCAAAGTCTTTGAGAACTTCCTGCACAATTCCATCTTCACCCCCAGGTAGGTGCCAGACAGCAGGCAGCCTCCCTCTATGGGGAGAGATCACACAACTGTATGATCGTAAAGCTCTACCTAAAACCTTCCCCATTGTTAACAGCTTTTAGACCTAACCCTTCTCTGAGGCTTTGTAGATGATTATCAAAGAGCTGAGCTCAAAATCTGGGTCCTGTTTGCTTTAATAGCCCAGAGAGAGATCCAGAGTCAGGACACGGTGGTGTTGTAATTACCCAGCCCTGGGACTGGGACTGACAGGATCTAAACATCATCAGGGTTTGGAGGTAGGGAGGGAGGGGAGGAGGGAGGGAGGAGAGGGGAGGAGGGAGGGAGGGAGGGAGTAGGGCTGGAGCTGTGTCAGAGGACCCTGACAGAGAGAGAGAGACACGGGTGCAGGGATCAAAGGCCTGCTTATGGCACTTGTGGATTCCATCGCCATGACGACAGCGGCAGCAGGATATTAAGGCCTAGCAGGCTGTAATTTAGGCAGCACAAACAAACCCAGGGAGAGGGATCTGATTAATGAGTCTGAAGGGCTTGCGCTCTGCTCGCTGGGCTGGCTGCACACTATAAGCCCGTTAGCCTTTTGTTTGCCAGAATGGGGACTGACATCTGTGTTGTGTTATCATTTTACCTTGCTCGTGGCTACGGATGCTTTACAGTTTAAAGACTCCAACCCATTCCCCCACACACACACTCTTTGTCATACACACACAGACACACACACAGATGTACTCACTCACACTGAGAGACTGATTGCGTTTTGAAATTGAGCCTTTTTCAGGGTAAACTCAGGCCACTTGTTTCCCCATACCAGATGGCAGATCAGACTGTGTGTGTGTCTGAGGTGAATGAGTGCATGAGCAGTACTGTGTTTGTGTATTCAGGGTACAATTTTGAGTGTTCACTGAATTAGTACCAGTTCATCTCAAATAAAATGGAATGGAAAACAAATTCTAGTCCCCTAGTTAACCTCCAGAGTGAAGCCAGTGGTGCGTGATCAATCCCAGTGCTTATACCTTGTCCTGACTCCAGCCTGCTTGGTACAGTATGCTGCTGATCACCTGCTGGGTCAACCTTCCTTCTCCTCGGTGATGCTGTCTTTCACAGTATTAAAACAATATGTCCAACTCAGAAAATAAACAATAAAACAAGACCACTATTGTTACCAATTGTTTTCATTCACTCTCTTCCCGGCATTTGACTGTGTTGATTTGTTATAGTATAGCTGTCTAGGAAACCAAGGAGTGCCAGGTCTCTGGCCTGCCTGCCTGCCGCTAAAGGCTATTATTGTGTATGCACAGGCCCTCCACCACAACAGAGCCAGCATTATCACAAAACACTCAAGGGAAGTGCCTCTGAATTAGTGTGAGTTTTTTTAAACGTTCAAGATTTACAGAGAAGGGGCGAGGGAGCGAAGGAAGGGGGAAACAGAAACAGAGAGAAGAGGAAATGTTTTCCATTCTGTCGCCCTCCTCGCTGCTCTCCCTCCTCCTCCCCTCACACGCTCTCTTTGTCCGCGGCGCGGTTCGGAGTGACCGGCTGCCAGGAAATGTACAGCGAAGCCATCTGGAATTCAAATAAATGAGAGGAGAAAAGGGAAGATCCCCTTAGAGCTGGCCAGACCAGTGAACACCATTCAGTGGAATAGACTGACTGGCTCGAGTAGTAGAGGAGAATAGTCAGGGGACAGGGATGGGTGATGACCAATTAGATTCACTGACCGGACATCAGCTGATTGGGCTGTTGCAACTATGACCTCATACAGAATGACACTTGAAGTACAGGGAAGGTTTCTGTGTGTTTTGTCCTGTTGTTGGCAGTTGGCACTGCCCTTAGCCTCTGGTTATCTCTCTGTGTGTCCTTCAGACACCACTAGCTTTGATACTGTATATGAGCATGAAGTAAAAAAGTATCGGGTCTCCTTTCTCTGGCCTCACTTTTCACTGGCATGAGAGACTGCTGTGTTCAGCTGCTGTGGTAAAAGAGTAGCGTTAAATCACGCTGTTCTGGCTCCAGACAGAGGGTGCAGTCATGTCCCACTCAGGATCCCTCGCTCAGGATCCCTCGCACAGCAGAAAAGGTGAGAAAGTAGGAGGTATTTTTTTAGGAGTGGAGCTGGGGAGGGAGGACACCAGCTGCAGTCAGCACCTGGTTAGATGGTCACGCTTCAGCTTCAGTCCTCTGTCTAGAGTTCATCTGAGGACAGATCTGCCTTGCTCTGCTCTGCCTGGCCCTGGCAGCTCTCTGGCATCGCTGCTGTCTGTCCCCTCTCCCATCACCCCCCTCATTCATCTCGGGGCGACCCAGTCTTCAATGGCAGGCTGTGTTGTGCTGTCTTCCATGCACTTGTCTTTTATACAATATGTTCATTAAAGCTTTGCCAGTCCTCAGTGCTGTTGTGTGTATTGTTAATAGTAACTAATACTTTTGGAGAGAGCTGGACCATGGCCTTTGCTGGAGCAGTTAAAATGGTCAGAATGGAATGTTGACAGTAGTGTGCGATGGCTACTGTTTTCTTCCCACAGATCTGTCTGTCAGCTGTGTTTTTCCACTCACAGTAAATACTATTTTCCCGTGGGTGCCCGGTCAGTCTCAAGGTCTTTTGTCACCCGCTCATAATATTGTCATACTCGCAAGGAATAGTTCTGAGAGGACATTGACATTGGCTTTCTACAGTTTCTGAAGGTCTAGATGCTGGAATGTAAAATAAAGCAGAAACAACATTCTCTTGAATTCCTGAGTAAACCCTGCTGGCCAGTAATGTTAGGTGGAGTTAGAGAGGGATACTCAGGAGATCACAGTCATTTCAGATAAACTCATCAGTCATTCGCTAATTTACCTCTCCTTAAAGACTCAACTAAGTAAAGATTAACCAACATTACATATTGACTTTATCTTTTCCATGTGTACTGTAAATACCGCATGAATCTAAATCTGGATTCACTGTCATTCGGGTCAACATATACAGCACATCCCACTACTGTCAGACAGTCCTGTATTCTCTTCAGCCCAGTTAACTGCTCTGTGGGATGACTGTTGAATTCTTTCAGAGACTCAGAGAGAGCCAGTCGTTACACATCTCCTAAAGGTGACTCTAGGTAAGGTCTGCTCCTCTCGGTACCGGCACAGCATCCCCCGTGTGTTGTGGAGTCCCAGTGGCCTCGCCTCGTAGCGTCTGGTGAGCTGCTGCTGCTGCCGCTGCCTGCATGTTGTCAGTGGCTCCAGCCGGCCGGCTCTCCATCATCACACCATCATCCTCCTCATCATCCTCATGATTGTGTTTACATCCATCTCCATGGCTCCGTGTAAGAGGGCTGCAGTCCTGTTGCAGGCTCTCGTGTTTGCTCTTTTGGGTGAAATGTACCATATGATTTCGTGTTTATTGCTTTATTTGCCTTATTCTTTATCATATGAAAACTACCTCTATGCATCAGACAGCTGGTTATTATTCTCCCATTTTCCCTGAGCAGTGAATTTGTCCTGTGGATGAGGACATGTAGGATAACAGAGTCAGTAGGGATCTGTATGGACAGGCAGGCTGCTGACAGTGTGTGGATGTGTGCTCTCTTTGCACCTCTCTCCCACCCCTCTGACCTCATCACACCACACAGCTCCACAGGGAGCAGACCACTGCAGCTGGACAGACACACTGCAACAACAAATAACACCAGGCCACTTCAACATACAGTACTCTACTCTCAGTTGAGTTGTATCCCACTGGAAACAGTCATTTTACTACATGATACGTACTTATGACTACTTCTTATTCCCATTCTGTATTCTTGTAGAGGACCCCACCCTGTCCAGTGAAGTTGAAGGGGATGTTTTTGCTCAGTGTGACTCGGTGTCGATGACGTCATGTGGGCGGTGTATGTAGGCTACAGTATACTGTATGTACAATATTGTGTGCTGTAGTGATGGGGGAAAAATCGATACAGTAGAGTATCGCACTATTATTCTTGACGATATTATATTGATTCTATGACTCATAGTATCGATTGTTGCAACATGCAACAATTTAAACAACAATTTACTGAGTTACAGTTCATATAAGGAAATCACTCAATTGAAATAAATAAATTAGGCCCTAATCTATGTATTTCACGACTGGGTAGGGGCACAGCCATGGGTTGACCTGGGAGGGCATAGGCCCACCCACTTGGGAGCCAGGCCCACCCATTGGGAAGCCAGGCCCAGCCAATCACAATACGTTTTTCCCCACAAAAGGGCTTTATTACAGACAGAAATACTCCTCAGTTTCATCAACTGTCCGGGTGGCTGGTCTCAGACGATCCCGCAGGTGAAGAAGCCGGATGTGGAGGTCCTGGACTGGCGTGGTCTTTTACTGTCCCCAGCACAAGGTGCACCTGTGTAATGTGGAGGCTTCTTGATATGCCACACCTGCCAGTTAGATATATTATCTTGGCAAAGGGGAAATGCTCACTAACAGGGATGCACAAAAAATTCTGCCCAAGATTTGAGAGAAATAAGGTTTTTGTGCGTATGGAACATTTCTGGGATCTTTTATTTCAGCTCATGAAATATGGGACCAACACTTTACATCTTGCATTTATATTTTTGTTCAGTATATAAATGGTGAGCCAACATATTTTCAGCACTTTTATTTCCATGACTGATTAACACTTGTTTTCTCATGGCTCTTTCTTGTCCCTCTGCAACAGACATGGTGAGCAATACGTTTGGAACATCCAATCGCAATATAATCACAGTATCCAATCGCAATACATACAGTGAGGGGAAAAAAGTATTTGATCCCCTGCTGATTTTGTACGTTTGCCCACTGACAAAGAAATGATCAGTCTATAAATTTAATGGTAGGTTTATTTGAATAGTGAGAGACAGAATAAGAACAAAAAAATCCAGAAAAACGCATGTACATTTTTTTATGAATTGATATGCATTTTAATGAGGGAAATAAGTATTTGACCCCTCTGCAAAACATGACTTAGTACTGGCAAAACCCTTGTTGGCAATCACAGAGGTCAGACGTTTCTTGTAGTTGGCCACCAGGTTTGCACACATCTCAGGAGGGATTTTGTCCCACTCCTCTTTGCAGATCTTCTCCAAGTCATTAAGGTTTCGAGGCTGACGTTTGGCAACTCGAACCTTCAGCTCCCTCCACAGATTTTCTATGGGATTAAGGTCTGGAGACTGGCTAGGCCACTCCAGGACCTTAATGTGCTTCTTCTTGAGCCACTCCTTTGTTGCCTTGGCCGTGTGTTTTGGGTCATTGTCATGCTGGAATACCCATCCACGACCCATTTTCAATGCCCTGGCTGAGGGAAGGAGGTTCTCACCCAAGATTTGACGGTACATGGCCCCGTCCATCGTCCCTTTGATGCAGTGAAGTTGTCCTGTCCCCTTAGCAGAAAAACACCCCCAAAGCATAATGTTTCCACCTCCATGTTTGACGGTGGGGATGGTGTTCTTGGGGTCATAGGCAGCATTCCTCCTCCTCTAAACACGGCGAGTTGAGCTGATGCCAAAGAGCTCCATTTTGGTCTCATCTGACCATAACACTTTCACCCAGTTCTCCTCTGAATCATTCAGATGTTCATTGGCAAACTTCAGACGGGCATGTATATGTGCTTTCTTGAGCAGGGGGACCTTGCGGGCGCTGTAGGATTTCAGTCCTTCATGGCATAGTGTGTTACCAATTGTTTTCTTGGTGACTATGGTCCTAGCTGCCTTGAGATCATTGATAAGATCCTCCCGTGTAGTTCTGGGCTGATTCCTCACCGTTCTCATGATCATTGCAACTCAACGAGGTGAGATCTTGCATGGAGCCCCAGGCCGAGGGAGATTGACAGTTCTTTTGTGTTTCTTCCATTTGTGAATAATCGCACCAACTGTTGTCACCTTCTCACCAAGCTGCTTGGCGATGGTCTTGTAGCCCATTCCAGCCTTGTGTAGGTCTACAATATTGTCCCTGACATCCTTGGAGAGCTCTTTGGTCTTGGCCATGGTGGAGAGTTTTGAATCTGATTGATTGATTGCTTCTGTGGACAGGTGTCTTTTATACAGGAAATAAACTCCCTGAAAGACTGGTCATGGCTGGTCATGGCTCACATCAACAGCATAATCCCAGAAACCCTAGACCCACTCCAATTTGCATACCGCCCCAACAGATCCACAGATGATGCAATCTCTATCGCACTCCACACTGCCCTTTCCCACCTGGACAAGAGGAACACCTACGTGAGAATGCTATTCATTGACTACAGCTCAGCATTCAACACCATAGTGCCCTCAAAGCTCATCACTAAGCTAAGGATCCTGGGACTAAACACCTCCCTCTGCAACTGGATCCTGGACTTCCTGACGGGCCGCCCCCAGGTGGTAAGGGTAGGTAACAACACATCTGCCACACTGATCCTCAACACGGGGGCCCCTCAGGGGTGCGTGCTCAGTCCCCTCCTGTACTCTCTGTTCACCCATGACTGCATGGCCAGGCACGACTCCAACACCATCATTAAGTTTGCCGACGACACAACAGTGGTAGGCCTGATCACCGACAACGATGAGACAGCCTATAGGGAGGAGGTCAGAGATCTGGCCGTGTGGTGCCAGGACAACAACCTCTCCCTCAACGTGACCAAGACAAAGGAGATGATTGTGGACTACAGGAAAAAAAAGAGGACTGAGCACGCCCCCATTCTCATCGACGGGGCTGTAGTGGAACAGGTTGAGAGCTTCAAGTTCCTTGGTGTCCACATCACCAACGAACTATCATGGTCCAAACACACCAAGACAGTCGTGAAGAGGGCACGACAAAGCCTATTCCCCCTCAGGAGACTAAAAAGATTTGGCATGGGTCCTCAGATCCTCAAAAAATTCTACAGCTGCACCATCGAGAGCATCCTGACTGGTTGCATCACCGCCTGGTATGGCAACTGCTTGGCCTCTGACCGCAAGGCACTACAGAGGGTAGTGCGTACGGCCCAGTACATCACTGGGGCAAAGCTCCCTGCCATCCAGGACCTCTATACCAGGCGGTGTCAGAGGAAGGCCCTCAAAATTGTCAAAGACTCCAGTCACCCTAGTCATAGACTGTTCTCTCTGCTACCGCACGGCAAGCGGTACCGGAGTGCCAAGTCTAGGTCCAAAAGACTTCTCAACAGCTTCTACCCCCAAGCCATAAGACTCCTGAACAGCTAATCATGGCTACCCGGACTATTTGCACTGCCCCCCCACCCCATCCTTTTTACGCTGCTGCTACTCTGTTAAGTATTTATGCATAGTCACTTTAACTCTACCCACATGTACATATTACCTCAACTAGCCGGTGCCCCCGCACATTGACTATGCAACGGTACCCCCCTGTATATATAGCCTCCCTACTGTCACTTTATTCTATTGTATATATAGCCTCCCTACTGTCACTTTATTTTTTACTTCTGCTCTTTTTTTTTTCTCAACACTTTTTTGTTGTTGTTTTATTCTTACTTTTTTTGTTTAAAATAAATGCACTGTTGGTTAAGGGCTGTAAGTAAGCATTTCACTGTAATGTCTGCACCTGTTGTATTCGGCGCATGTGACCAATAAAATTTGATTTGATTTGATTTGATTTGATTTAAACTGAGATTAGGAGCACTCCCTTTAAGAGTGTGCTCCTAATCTCAGCTCGTTACCTGTATAAAAGACACCTGGGAGCCAGAAATCTTTCTGATTGAGAGGGGGTCAAATACTTATTTCCCTCATTAAAATGCAAGTCAATTTATAACATTTTTAACATGCATTTCTGGATTTTCTTGTTGTTATTCTGTCTCTCACTGTTCAAATAAACCTACCATTAAAATTATAGACTGATAATTTCTTTGTCAGTGGGCAAACGAACAAAATCAGCAGGGGATCAAATACTTTTTTCCCTCACTGTATAGAATCATGGGAATTGTGTGAATCGCAATACATATCGTATCGGCACCTAAGTATCGTGATAATATCATATCGTGAGGTCCCTGGCAATTCCCAGCCCTAGTGTGCTGTCTGTAACCGGTGTTCCAGAGTATATTACTGTATGGCTGGCTGACTTCGTATTCCCCTCTCTCCTCTTTAACTGTGCCTCTGCTCCCTTCCAGAGAAGCTGAAAGCCCACACATCTGCTCCCCTCCTCCTCCTCCTCCTCAACCTCTGTCTCTTATCCTTTGTCTTTCTTTGCCACGTTTGTGCCTTTTGTGCTGCAGTCAGTCAGTGGGTCTCTCTCACATTTTTTTGGACCCTCTTTGTCCCTCAGACCCCCAGACCGGCGACGTAGGGATCTATTTGGGGTGGCTAACAGCACCCTGGCACGGGGTGGCAACATGACAGGCCTGGAGGGTAATAGGACAGAAGGAGAGCCCCCTGAGAGGGAGTTCCCCTTCATGGAGGACCGGAGCAAGACAGAGTTTATCGAGATCCCCAACCTGCAGCCCTTCACGGTGTACCGCATAGACATCCATGCATGCAACCAGGAGGTCCGTCGCTGCAGCGCTGGAGCCTTCGTCTTCTCCAGGACGAAACCTGCAGGTGAGGCAGTCACACACACACACACACACACACACACACACACACACACACACACACACACACACACACACACACAGTCGCTAGATAAAGGCTTCAACAACAGCAGCCATCTGCATAGATTATTGTTCTAGACTCACTATACCTTTTTGGACATAGCTAAGGTGTAGGAAGCCATCTGATATCAATGTCTGTGTCTCTGTCCATCAGACAAAGCGGATGACATGCCAGGCAGGGTGATCCAGGAGAGGGATGAGAAGGTAGAGGGTTCAGTGCTGCTGAAGTGGCCGGAGCCTGTCAACCCCAATGGCCTCATCCTGATGTATGAGATCAAGTTCCGCCAGGGCACCGAGGTGAGTCTGCATGGATCAGGACCCCTGAGGCCCCTGGGAGCTCTGCAGGGCCTCAACCCTCAGGTTGACACTGTCTGTGTGTGTGTTTTCTTCCAGCCTGAGAAACACGAGTGTGTGTCACGCCAGCATTACCGTGTTCACAAAGGAGCTCGTCTGACCAACCTGGGCTATGGGAACTACTCTGCCCGCGTGCGTGCCACCTCCCTGGCAGGAAACGGGTCCTGGACTGAGCCAGTGTCCTTCTATGTGCCCCCACCCAAACGTATGGAGAACACATGCATTTCCACATAAATAACCCTCTTCAAAGGCCTTTTATATTGCTGATTTTCATGCCCAGAATTCTATTGGTGTGAAATCTTCCTTTTCTCACTGGTCAGATTTTAATAGTTGTTCTGTTGTTTTAATCTTGTTGCAGGGTACTATGACAACGCGTTCTATCTGGTCATCATCATCCCCATCATTGTGATAATTCTTATCGCCAGCCTCATCACTGCACTCTTCTTTGTCAACAAAAAGAGGTAAGAGGAGCTGAATGATCACTAGAACGAATAACTGTAACTCTGTAACAAAACATTTGACTAATGCAATATTAATCAGTTGAATGATATAATAGTGCTATTGTGATCATTTTCCTGCCTTAGGCAGTTCATAAGATCGTAGGCTTTTCTGCTGAATGAACGATCCCATTTATCTGTTGCCAAATCTGCCTCCACTGGCTCACACAGATGTGTTTGTGTCCACAGGAACAGTGACAGGCTGGGGAATGGTGTCCTCTATGCTTCTGTCAACCCAGAGTACTTCAGTGCTGCTGAGAGTAAGAACCCTCTGAACACCTACTGTCATTTGAATGATGAGATGGTGTCAACGTCTCCTTAGATGATGGCTGTCTCTGACTGTCCTCTCCTCCTGTGTTCAGTGTATGTTCCAGACGAGTGGGAGGTGGCCAGGGAGAAAATCACCATGCACAAGGAGTTGGGCCAGGGTTCCTTCGGCATGGTGTATGAGGGCCTGGCTAAGGGCGTGGTTAAGGACGAGCCTGAGACCCGCGTGGCCATCAAGACGGTCAACGAATCAGCCAGCATGAGGGAGAGGATAGAGTTCCTCAACGAGGCCTCCGTCATGAAGGAGTTCAACTGTCACCACGTGGTGAGAGAGACAGAGTCCAAAACACCAGTTAACATCAGGGACATTGGCTCAGAAACACTAGCTTTTAAATGATAAGGTATTGCCTCAATTTCACAGAGGTTCAAAATTAGAAACAAAGGAAAGAGATCCATCAGCTAGACACTCTTGGGAGTTATAAGTCACCCCTCCTGATGCATAGGGTCAGAGACACCTAGCTGGCTGTTGAGGTCAGAGATCAAAGCCAGGGCACACTACCCAGGGAGCTGCAGTATAACTCCAGTATAACCTGAGGCCAGCTGTAACTGTGTGACCTGAGACCTCTGAGCTATATCACAGCCAAATCCTCATTAATTCAGCTAAACGGAAGTGTTAAGGATTCCCCCTTGGAAAGACTCTGTTACAACCTTTTAGCATGTCTGGATGTTTAAAAGTCAAACACTTAATTATTAAGCTACATTTTAATAATTTAGAGGCAAAGAATAGTTTTTTTTACTTGCTTTCCTCAAAGCTCCTCAGTAGCTTTAGTTAAGAGAAGCCAGAGTAGTTTCAAAAGCAAGAACATTCCACATCACTTCAGTCAGTTCGATTAATAACACTTAGAAATCATGTTTATTGCCCAATAATAGCACTTAGAAATAATGTTTATTTCCCAAAAGCTTCAGAAGGAATACTACACCAATGAGAATTGTTTGTACTCATCTCCACTGATGCCATCTCTGTGCTGTGTTCTAATTGGTGTAGGTGCGTCTGCTGGGCGTGGTCTCTCAGGGCCAGCCCACCTTGGTGATAATGGAGCTGATGACCCGTGGAGACCTGAAGAGCCACCTGCGATCACTCCGGAAAGAGGTATGTACATTACCCCTCCTGCTCTTTCTCACATAGTCTCTCACAGAACTCAAGTCTATGGCCTTGTCCGGAATCTGTCTTGCCTACTACTTACTAAAACTGCTTACTGTGTGTAGTAATCATACTACATACTATTTAGAACATACTGTTTAGTAAAAATGTATGCAGTAAGCAACAAATATCAGAATACTGGACTCACTGAGAATGCATTATCTGATGCGCAATTGCGTTGTTTCCCGCCATTCGTCCATTTTGGTAGAGCGTCTCACCTTATGTCACTATCAGCTGATTATCAGCTGCTGTCAAACACACATGGATCTGAAAATACGACTTTCTTCCTGTATAGTGTGCAGCGAATTCCACTAGATGAAAAGCCAAAATGAGTATGACATCCTGGCATTTAAAGCATACTTAATTTTCGAAATTTCACATACTATAAAACATATTTTCGCATTCCCAAAATGCCTACAATTTACAACGTAAGTACGGGTTTTTGGACATGGCCATTGTGTTAGTGAATAAATCATGTATTAATATCACGCACGCACGCACACACACACACACACACACACACACACACACACACACACACACACACACACACACACACACACACACACACACACACACACACACACACACGAAAGACATGGAGGGGGAGATATGTCCACACCTCCTTCAGTTGGGTCTCTCCCATTGTGTGGTGTGCCCTGGACTCCAGGCCAGGCCATGGTTCAGTGCTGCAGACAGGGAGAGGGAGGTTGGAGGGAGAGACTGAATGGCCTGCTTGTGCTCAGGTCTCTGCCTCTCTGCCACAGAACACGTCCAGCCAGGTTCTGCCCCCACTGAAGAAGATGATCCAGATGGCAGGAGAGATTGCGGACGGCATGGCATACCTCAACGCCAACAAGTTTGTCCACAGAGACCTGGCAGCCAGGAACTGCATGGTGGCGGAGGACTTCACCGTCAAGATCGGAGGTGAGTGCCTCAAAATACAGTAGTACTCATACTCCCCGCTGTAAGTTTAATGCTAAATTCCCTCTGCCATACTCCAAAGTAAGTATTTTGAGATCACTGAGTGCTTGAGTGGGAGGAATAGCTCGTAAATCTAAATGGACAGAAGAGAAGGAGAGGTGAGGGGATAGATAAGGCCTCTTCTCACATTAGTGGGATATTTAGTGGCCATTCAAACCTCTCTTCTCCTCTTCTCAGACTTTGGCATGACGCGAGACATCTACGAGACGGATTACTATCGGAAAGGAGGGAAGGGCCTTCTGCCGGTCCGCTGGATGTCCCCAGAGTCGCTGAAAGATGGCGTGTTCACCACAAACTCTGATGTCTGGTACGAGCTCCCTGCCGTCCTCCCTGACTCATACACATGCACATGCACATGCAGAGTTAGGAGGCCTGCGCAGATCAACAAGTGTACTCTGTATGTATTGCATGCTGGATGCCATTATAGTTAGTAGATACAGTAAGTCTTGGCAGTGAATTTTTTTTCCTGTTTAGTCATGTACCTTTGTGCTCTCAGGAACATAGAGTGAGTTTAGAACAGCAGATCAAGGCTCCGCTCAGTTCTCTCTCTGGAATGGGCTGCATTAGAGAAATATAGCTGTTTACTAGCTCCTTAGTTTTTGTTTCCCAACCGAAAGTGTCCCACGGGTCTGTCCCTACAAGCACACTTAAACTCCTCCAGATGTTTTCAAATGATGGGTTAGAGTGCCAACAGAAACCCACCTCCACATCCCGCTCCCTATCTTCCTCTTTGAAGTCACGCAGATGAAAAGGAGCATTGTGGGAACCCATTCTGGGCTCTTATGAGATTTACCAGTAGGTGTCTTTATCTAAAAAAGTCTCTTAATGTGGTTTTGTCTTTCAACACTCTCCTGTTTCAGCCAATTAGATACAAGTCAGTGTTGTAATAGGCCTTTTTAAAGAGTGTTGAAAGCCGTCTTAGATCCCTAGCCAGCGGGGGAAATATGGCCTTGGAGAGCTAACAAATAATCATTGGCAATGATGCGCTCTTTGTTTTCTTGTGTCAAGCTTAGGTTTTGGTTTTCTGTTGCAGTTCCTTAGTGGTCTCTGGGTAGTATACAATCTCATGTTATTAATGAACAACACATGGATAAGGCAAGATGACACAAACATTTACATATGGCAGACATATTGCAGTCTATGTCCTTTTTTGATTAATATATGGAACATCAATTTATGAATAAACTTTTAATATGTTCTTTGCACCATCTGCTTTACACTGTGAGAGAGCAATCTTTACTCAACCTTGTACTATGCAGGGCCATCATTGTAAAGAGCTGCCAGAGACTAGTTACATGCCCTGCTGGGCCCTGTGGATGGATGTTTTAGCCTGGATTACCCTGCATGGTCCTACTACAGTTATGCAGCAGCTGATGTGTGTCGTCAAACAGGCCTGTATCCTCTCTGTCTCCCCCTGCAGGTCGTTTGGGGTGGTGTTGTGGGAGATTGCCACCTTGTCTGAGCAGCCGTACCAGGGCATGTCCAATGAGCAGGTGCTGCGTTTCGTCATGGAGGGAGGACTCCTGGACAAGCCTGACAACTGCCCTGACATGCTGTGAGTCCCCTGCTCTTTCTCTCAATGTCAATGTCACTCTTGGACTGGGTCGGGGGTAGGATAATTTCTAAATGACAGTATTAGCCACTCCTTCAATATGCTATGTTTTTCCTATTACCTGTTCCACTGTTATGCTTATTCTTTAGGTGCATTTTCAGATGTTATTGTCCTTTAATACCAGCTCACTGTCATGGTTTCCTAGCTAAATCTAAAGATTTACCTCTTGCGAATATTGCCCCTGCTGTTTCTATTTAGAGTTGAGGGGCCAAATGTGCATACTATATCATGAGATCCGTATGCCAGTGGGGAGCTAAGTGAAGGCCTGACTGGTGACATTTACGTCACGGTTTAAATGGAGCTCAGTGACATCATGGCCCCCATGCTCAGCTGGCGAGACGGGAGCTCCCTCCTCAGCAGTAAGCCGAGGCCCATAGAAGGGATGCCACGGCCCGTGTGTGAAATATTTCCCTCATTCCCCATTAGTGAGGGTACGAGGCAACAGATCAGTGTCTGCTCATCAGAGAGAGAGAGAGAGAGAGAGAGAGAGAGAGAGGTGGCTCTTCTGCGTACATGCGTTTCTCCTCTCTGCCTCTGATCTCAATGTGAAGGCCTTCCCTTTTTCCTCCACTCTCCATGGCTAACCTCACCTTACAGAGAGGGGCGAGTGTTATGCAGACACAAACCTCAGGTTTCTATGGCAGCCTCACAGTGGTGTCCTGATTGCAGGAGCGCCAACAGTTCAGTAATATCTAACAATTTACAACAGTACACACAAATCTAAAAGTACAAGAATGGAATTAAGAAATATATAAATATTAGGATGAGCAATGTCGGAGTGGCATAGACTAAAATACAGTAGAATAGAATACAGTATACAGTGGGGAAAAAAAGTATTTAGTCAGCCACCAATTGTGCAAGTTCTCCCACTTAAAAAGATGAGAGAGGCCTGTAATTTTCATCATAGGTACACGTCAACTATGACAGACAAATTGAGGGAAAAAAATCCAGAAAATCACATTGTAGGATTTTTAATGAATTTATTTGCAAATTATGGTGGAAAATAAGTATTTGGTCACCTACAAAAAAGCAAGATTTCTGGCTCTCACAGACCTGTAACTTCTTCTTTAAGAGGCTCCTCTGTCCTCCACTCGTTACTTGTATTAATGGCACCTGTTTGAACTTGTTATCAGTATAAAAGACACCTGTCCACAACCTCAAACAGTCACACTCCAAACTCCACTATGGCCAAGACCAAAGAGCTGTCAAAGGACACCAGAAACAAAATTGTAGACCTGCACCAGGCTGGGAAGACTGAATCTGCAATAGGTAAGCAGCTTGGTTTAAAGAAATCAACTGTGGGAGCAATTATTAGGAAATGGAAGACATACAAGACCACTGATAATCTCCCTCGATCTGGGGCTCCACGCAAGATCTCACCCCGTGGGGTCAAAATCATCACAAGAACGGTAAGCAAAATCCCAGAACCACACGGGGGGACCTAGTGAATGACCTGCAGAGAGCTGGGACCAAAGTAACAAAGCCTACCATCAGTAACACACTACGCCGCCAGGGACTCAAATCCTGCAGTGCCAGACGTGTCCCCCTGCTTAAGCCAATACATCTCCAGGCCCGTCTGAAGTTTGCTAGAGTGCATTTGGATGATCCAGAAGAGGATTGGGAGAATGTCATATGGTCAGATGAAACCAAAATATAACTTTTTGGTAAAAACTCAACTCGTCGTGTTTGGAGGACAAAGAATGCTGAGTTGCATCCAAAGAACACCATACCTACTGTGAAGCATGGGGGTGGAAACATCATGCTTTGGGGCTGTTTTTCTGCAAAGGGACCAGGACGACTGATCCGTGTAAAGGAAAGAATGAATGGGGCCATGTATCGTGAGATTTTGAGTGAAAACCTCCTTCCATCAGCAAGGGCATTGAAGATGAAACGTGGCTGGGTCTTTCAGCATGACAATGATCCCAAACACACCGCCCGGGCAACGAAGGAGTGGCTTCGTAAGAAGCAGTTCAAGGTCCTGGAGTGGCCTAGCCAGTCTCCAGATCTCAACCCCATAGAAAATCTTTGGAGGGAGTTGAAAGTCCGTGTTGCCCAGCAACAGCCCCAAAACATCACTGCTCTAGAGGAGATCTGCATGGAGGAATGGGCCAAAATACCAGCAACAGTGTGTGAAAACCTTGTGAAGACTTACAGAAAACGTTTGACCTGTGTCATTGCCAACAAAGGGTATATAACAAAGTATTGAGAAACTTTTGTTATTGACCAAATACTTATTTTCCACCATAATTTGCAAATAAATTCATTAAAAATCCTACAATGTGATTTTCTGGATTTTTTTTCCTCATTTTGTCTGTCATAGTTGACGTGTACCTATGATGAAAATTACAGGCCTCTCTCATCTTTTTAAGTGGGAGAACTTGCACAATTGGTGGCTGACTAAATATTTTTTTCCCCCCACTGTACATGGACACACATGCTTTGTTTAATGCCAGTGGCAGGTCATTGGAAAAGATCTAACTGTAAGTCGCTCTGGATAAGAGCGTCTGCTAAATGACTAAAATGTAAATGTAAATGTATAGAAAATAGTAGAGGGTCTAGAGAGCTGCCCTGCGGTACACCACACTTTACATGTTTGACATTAGAGAAGCTTCCATTAAAGAAAACCCTTTGAGTTCTATTAGATAGATAGCTCTGAATCCACGATATGGCAGATGTTGAAAAGCCATAACACATACAGTACCAGTCAAAAGTTTGGACACCTACTCATTCAAGGGTTTTTCTTTATTTTTAAATTTTTTTACATTGTAGACTAATAGTGAAGACATCAAAACTATGAAATAACACAAATGGAATCATGTAGTAACCAAAAAAGTGTTAAACAAATCAAAATATATTTTATATTTCAGATTCTTTGCTTATTGTCACAACACAACTGATTGGCTCAAACACATTCCACAAATTAACTTTTAAGACTGCACACCTGGTAATTTAAATGCATTCCAGGTGACTACTTCATCAAGCTGGTTGAGAGAATGCCAAGAGTGTGCAAAGCTGTCATCAAGGCAAATGGTGGCTATTTGAAGAATCTCAAATATAAAATATATTTTGATTTGTTTAACACTTTTTTGGTTACTACATGATTCCATATGTGTTATTTCATAGTTTTGATGTCTTCACTATTATTCTACAATGTAAAAAAATAAAGAAAAACCCTTGAATGAGTAGGTGTGTCCAAACTTTTGACTGGTAGTGTATGTTTTTTCAACAACAGGTTATGTTCAATAATATCAAAGGCTGCACTGAAATCTAACAGTACAGCTCCCACAATCTTCTTATTATCAATTTCTTTCAACCAATCATCAGTAATTTGTGTCAGTGCAGTACATGTTGAGTGCCCTTCTCTATAGGCATGCTGAAAGTCTGTTGTTAATTTGTTTACAGAGAAATTGCATTGTATTTCATCAAACACATTTTTTTCCAACAGTTTGCTAAGGGCTGGCAGCAAGCTTATAGACATCTTTTGAAATATCTGAACTTCTGTTCTATGGTAAAGGATGACTACACATTTGGTCCAATGTTAGGGAGCTGCATGAAAAGAGATGGTTTTCTGAGTGGTGATATTGGGGAACATGTTAATGGTCAGGCCTGCAGCTGAAGATTCCTGTTTACGTTAATGGTCTTTCATAGCATAGGTTGCTCTCTCTTATAGCTATCTCTATCTCTACTCTGGCTAGCATTGGTATGGTTATTTATAATGTTGTGAACGATGCAACGTTTACATATCATGATGTGAGTGAAATCTGCTAGAAGGTGCTGGAATGTGTTTGTGTGTGATGAGGAGCTGAGTGCTGACAAGCAGAGAGGATTTACTGCAGCGTATTCACATCAACGAGCGTTACACACAGCGACAGATGGCCCAGGAAGAATTTGCAGCAGGCCAACGCCAAGCAGACAGGTTACTCTGGTGCGTGGGCCCAGCTCCAAGCATTACAGCCATTTTCATGGGAGGTCTTGGAGCCGGGGTTTAGTTTAGCCATCTGAAAGACAACTTTAAGAGACTCACTAACTGAGAGGCTGAAAAACAACCCATGGCTGGTTAAAACGTAGTTTGAAGTTAAGCGTCTGCTTAACTACCCAGAATGATTTGGTGCAGAGAGGCTAGGATACCCAGCTGTACAGGCTGTTGTGCGATCAGACAGAGAGAGGTGGCTGCTGTGAGATAGAGGGAGATGACTGAGGTGTTTATGAAGGTATTCTTAGCTTGTTTGTGTATAATTTAAGATGTGGTGTGTGGTGGAGCACCCAACTGTAATGATTCTCCTTTTATTATGTTGTTTTGACATTTTCTGTGTTCTGTCGCTGGCCTGCCACGGTATGTTCATTTATGATTTACTGTCTACACTACATATACAAAAGTATGTGGACACCCCTTCAAATTAGTGGATTTGGCTATTTCAGCCACACCCGTTGCTGACCGGTATATAAAATCGAGCACACAGCCATACAATCTCCATCGACAAACATTGGCAGTAGAATGGAGTTACTGAAGAGCTCAGTGACTTTCATCTTGGCACCGTCATAGGATGCCACCTTTCCAACAAGTCAGTTTGTCAAATTTCTGCCCTGCTAGAGCTGCCCCGCTCAACTGTAAGTGCTGTTATTGTGAAGTGGAAGCGTCTAGGAGCAACAACGGCTCAGCTGCGAAGTGGTAGGCCACAGTAGCAACACTCACTACCAAGTTCCAAACTGCCTCTGGAAGTAACTTCAGCACAAGAACTGTTCGTCGGGAGCTTCATGAAATGGGTTTCCATGGCCTAGCAGCCGCACACAAGCCTAAGATCACCATTCGCAATGCCAAGCGTCTGCTGGAGTGGTGTAAAGCTTGCCGCCATTGGACTCTGGAGCAGTGGAAACGCGTTCTCTGGAGTGATGAATCACTCTTCACCATCTGGCAGTCTGACGGACGAATCTGGGTTTGGCAGATGCCAGGAGAATGTTACCTGCCCGAATGCATAGTGCCAACTGTAAAGTTTGGTAGAGGAGGAATAATGCTGTGGGGCTGTTTTTCATGGTTCGGGCTAGGCCCCTTAGTTCCAGTGAAGGGAAATCTTAACGCTACAGCATACAATGACATTCTAGACGATTCTGTGCTTCCAACTTTGTGGCAACAGTTTGGGGAAGGTCCTTTCCTGTTTCAGCATGACAATGCCCCCATGCACAAAGCGAGGTCCATACAGAAATGGTTTGTCGAGATCGGTGTGGAAAGACTTGACTGGCATGCACAGAGCCCTGACCTCAACCCCATCGAATACCTTTGGGATGCAGGTGTCCACATACTTTTGTACATGTAGTGAAGTTGTACACATTCTACAGTATGGTATGATGGTACATTCAAACTGGGATACTATGTATAGTTTGCAGTGGTTGTTTGTATAGAAAGCTCTGGAAGTTCTTTGGTTCAGTGAGTATCAGAAACATTTTCATGGGTTTATAATATTTGTGTACTCTGCCACCTTCTGGTGAAAAGATGTTATGATATACACTATAATTCAAAAGTTTGGGGTCACTTAGAATTGTCCTTGTTTCGAAAGAAAAGCAATTTTTTTGTCCATTAAAATAACATCAAATTGATCAGAAATACAGTGTAGACATTGTTAATGTTGTAAATGGCTATTGTAGCTTTAAACGGCTGATTTTTTATGTAATATCTATATAGGCGTACAGAGGCCCATTATCAGCAACCATCAGTCCCGTGTTCCAATGGCACGTTGTGTTTGCTAATCCAGGTTTATCATTTTAAAAGGCTACTTGATCATTAGAAAACCCTTTCGCAATTATGTTAGCACAGCGGAAAACTGTTGTGCTGATTAAAGAAGCAATACAACTGGCCTTCTTGAGACTAGTTGAGTATCTGGAGCATCATCAATTGTGGGTTCGATTACAGGCTCAAAATGGCCAGAAACAAATAACTTTCTTTTGAAACTCGTCAGTCTGTTCTTGTTCTGAGAAATGAAGGCTATTTCATGCGAGAAATTGCCAAGAAACTGAAGATCTCATACAACGCTGTGTACTACTCCCTTCACAGAACAGCGCAAACTGGCTCTAACCAGAATAGAAAGAGGAGTGGGAGGCCCCGGTGCACAACTGAGCAAGAGGACAGTTTGAGAAACAGACGCCTCACAGGTCCTCAACTGGCAGCTTCATTAAATAGTACCCACAAAACACCAGTCTCAACGTCAACAGTGAAGAGGCGACTCCGGGATGCTGACCTTCTAGGCAGAGTTGCAAAGAAAAACCCATATCTCAGACTGGCCAATAAAAAGAAAAGATTAAGATGGGCAGTCTGAGATATGGCTTTTTCTTTGCAACTCTGCCTAGAAGGTCAGCATCCCGGAGGGCCTCCCACTCCTCTTTCTATTCTGGTTAGAGCCAGTTTGCGCTGTTCTGTGAAGGGAGTAGTACACAGCGTTGTATGAGATCTTCAGTTCTTGGCAATTTCTCGCATGGAATAGCCTTCATTTCTCAGAACAAGAATAGACTGACGAGTTTCAGAAGAACGTTATTTGTTTCTGGCCATTTTGAGCCTGTAATCGAACCCACAATTGCTGATGCTCCAGATACTCAACTAGTCTCAAGAAGGCCAGTTTTATTGCTTCTTTAATCAGCACAACAGTTTTCAGCTGTGCTAACATAATTGCAAAATGGTTTTCTAATGATCAATTAGTCTTTTAAAATGATAAACTTGGATTAGCAAACACAACATGCCATTGGAACAGAGGACTGATGGTTTCTGATAAAGGGCCTCTGTACGGCTATGTAGATATTCCATAACAAAATCTGCCGTTTCCAGCTACAATACCCATTTACAACATTAACAATGTCTACACTGTATTTCTGATCAATTTGATGTTATTTTAATGGACAAAAAAAAGTAATTTTCTTTCGAAAACAAGGACATTTATAAGTGACCCCAAACTTTTGAAGGGTAGTGTATGTATAATTGAGATTGTCTGTGTGTTACCCTTAGGTTTGAGCTGATGCGGATGTGCTGGCAGTACAACCCCAAGATGCGTCCCTCCTTCCTGGAGATCATCAACAGCCTCAAGGAGGAGCTGGAGCCTCCGTTCAGTGAGATGAGCTTCTTCTTCAGCGAGGAGAACAAGCCCCCGGACACTGAGGAGCTGGACATGGAGGTGGAGAACATGGAGAACGTGCCACTGGACCCTGCACCCAGCAGACCCCCCACTGCTGTCCCTCAGCCCTCCCAGGGACCCATGGGGGCCACACGGTGCTCAGCGCCCCCTCCTCCCCAGCAGTTATCTCCAATGCAAGGCCCATCTAGTACCCTGGTGGGACCTGGCTCCCCCTCCACCTCAGCCCCTGTTGCCTCTGCCTCGGCCTCCCCAGGCCTGGCCTTGGACAAGCACTCAGCACAGGTATCGGCCAACGGGCCAGTGGTGGTGCTGCGGCCCAACTTTGAGGACACGCAGAACTACGCTCACATGAACGGGGGGCGCAAGAACGAGCGGGCGCTGCCACTGCCCCAGTCTTCAGCCTGCTGATCCGAGCCCCCCTCCTCCCCCCTTGGCCAGATCACCCCTCTCCGCCTCCTCTTCTCAGACAGGGTAACATTAACTTCTCCTCCGCTTTAGTTCTAATGGGAGGGATGGATGAATGAATAACTGACAGACATTATACTACTCTACTACAGTAGGAGTCTTTTAATTAAAAAAAAGTTATATTAGCAGGATTTATGATTGAATACCGAAACGGAGAAACAGTACAGAAACCTGTTAAAGCGTTTGGAGCATGGTGGCTCAGACCGAACTACAACACTGGGGAGCTCTGGTGTTTCCTTCTTGTAGAGTATTTGTTACTTTTTAAAAATCCTTAAAGAAAGACAAAAATACAGACTTATTAATATTCCCTGACTGACAGGTATTGTAAGTGACAAACAGTAACTTATTTTAAGCATATCTGCCAGCAGATCCAACAGAAGAGCACTTTTTGATGATTTCAGAGAGAAGGTTGTGAATATATCAGACTGTATTTCTATACAAACACATGATTCTCTTGACAGAAAGATATAGCTCCTCTTCCACACTTCTTTCCATCAATATACTTCTCCTCCCATTTTCAGACATTGATGTGTTCTGGACTAGGCTCATTGGTTTTCCTGTCAATATTCCGGGGTAGGAGGGAATGGTTTCAGGAGTGGGTAGATAGGATAGAGGAGGGGCTATTGTGAATCTGCCATATGTTTTGCCAAATCAAAGTTAGCAATTTTCTCCCTCTTCCTCTTCATTTCTCTCTTTGATTCGACATGGAGAGAAACACAATCAAGCATCCTAAAACTCCCACATTGCTGTTTGTTTTCTTTTCTTCACAATTACAATCAAATTGTAAAATGAATTTGCCTGTTTTATTTTCTGTGGGTTTTTGGTTCACATCAGAGCCCTTATTTGGAGTCCTCTTCTATTGTATGTGTCATCTGAGAGATGAAAACACCAACATCACCAACAGAGACATTGAAGTAAAAGGACTTGGCGCCAAAAATGCAACACATACAGAGACAAACCTGAAGTGGAAGGTATTGGATCAGTTCTGATACAAGGAGAACTAAAGGACTTAACAGAACTCCACGTTGTGAGCATACATACGTCTGCTAAAGGCATTGTACACAGCAGGTATTTTTTAGACTAGTCATTAGTCTCTCTGTACAATTCAAACATTTATATAAAGGTCTTACAGTTGTATGTTAGACCTTAGGATCATTTTCACACACATCATTGGTTTGTCACTTTTATAACTTTTATACGGTTCAGATGTTCTCCTCTATGTCTGTACATAATAAAGCTGCTATTTTATTCTTTTTCTTTTTTGGATGTTATATATATAAAGAAATCCTTCAGGTTTAATATTTTATGATCTCCACTACAGTCCATTTCTTATGCTTCATACTTCTTCTAGCAAAAAATATTTAAAAAAATGACCTTTCTCTCTTCTTTACCCCAGAACAGGTTGTCTGTATCATAACATATTGTCCATTGCCTTTTATTTTTTATGAACATGTTTTCCTTTGCATTCTTTTTTGTAGATTTCTATATAATTATCATTATTATTATTATTATTATTATTATTATTAGTTCGAATGGACACAGCTCCGTGTGCGAGTGTGTACGTTTGGCACCCTTCTTGTACCAGTTGTCTAGTACTGTGCCTAGTTATTGCCCCCTAGGTGCAACTTAATCTCAGGTCGAAGTAAAAGTTTTGCTTTCTCCATACATTCTCATTACTGTCCTCTGCTTGTTTCACCTCTCTGTTGAGTCCAATAGTGCCCTCTCCCCTCCCCTCCGGCCCCACACTGAAATGTGCAGTATACCTGCCTCCCCCAGTGCCTCCTTTTGAAGTCAGGATTAGTTAAACAGGATCTTATTTTTTCTACTGGATCTGGTGTTTTAACCCATCCATTTTCCTGCCTCTCAATTTATAGGGCTCATTGGGTTGTCTCGTTTGCCTTAATTATCCCAACCACTCGCCATCCTCTCAAAGAAAGCTCATTCATAATCTAAGTTCTCTTTTTGTGTCTTAGCATTTGTGTTGTCATACTCATTCTCTTATGATCAAAGTGAAAACAGTTTCTATTGTTTGTCTCCTTAAACATGGCATCTGTAAACCAAATAAGGATGGGTTAAAGTCCAGGGAAGTGGTCACATTTCAATGTCATGAATGGAATAGGTCTTACTGGGGGTGTCAGTATGAAAAGTGTTTTTGAAGGATTTCTCCTCATCTTTTGAAAAAGTTTCCTTCTTTGAAGTTATTCTCTGTAGGATTGTTATTTATTTTTTTATTTTCATTTTGTGATATCAGTTTAAATCACTGTATAAATGCCCCTTGATTAAGTATAAAGTTGGATTTTTTTATATGTATTTTCTTTGGTGTCATGGCTGGGGGACTTTTTTCATTTTTTCCCTTCAAGTATATATCTACCTCACTCTTTTTAAATATGTGTATGAAAAGAAAAGTACATCTCTCCTTTTCTCATTAGCCTGTATAAGGTTATAACATTACTATCAATACACACAACACACAAACCCTGGTTGGAGTGGAGAAGGGAATAGCTCTAGGGTGGTTGTAATTCTATCTGGTCCCATGCTTAAAGAGTTCTGTATCAACTACATTTTCTGTTGGTCCAAAGATTTTAAATGGAAAACAAAGTATGTTTGTAGTTAAAAGTATGAGGAATGTAATGTATGTGGTACAGGCTATGTTATGGGTTTGAGTTAATAAAAGAGGTTGTCTGGCATGTATTGCACAGGAAATGGCTCTATTCCCACCCTCTTGGTTCGAGCACTAACATGCTAACCTGGTTACCTAATGATGCTAACTTAGAACAACATCAAATGACTATTGTGATGGGAAGCGTTTGCAGTAGGCTACAAGAGGTCACAGTACAGTATGCATTGGTAGAGAGCAGGACACAGCCACCTCAGACATCCCATCTCCACTCCTCTGCAAATTATTTCACAACTAGAAATCATCCGATCATACAGCTGGTAAGAAGGGTGAAGCTGAATGGTATCTTCTTTATTTTCTATTGTATCATGTATTTAGGTAAATTTAAAGCAAATCAATACATTGCAGTTAAGCAACATGGAGATAAAGAAACATGGGAACATTGCATTTATCATTTTTGACCATTTAAGACATTTTGCAATGTAATGTATATTGGGAAACCAGGTAGATCAGAGGATGTTTGGCTTTAGCCTGAATTCTGGACAACTAAACCACTACTGACATTGAAACAACTCCTATAGAATGTTTGCCAACACTGGCTTCTGGTTTCAGCTTAAATGTTTCTTCATGTAAAAATGGTCATTGATAATATCCTATGTACGGGGATGTAAAGTAAGGATTTCCCCTGAAGTATAAATGACGGCACTTATTTCTTTGAAATACTCCTAGTGAAGACAGCATACTCACATACTCCTAGACTCAACAGCTCCACATGTTCTCAAAGTTAGTGTTACAACTACAAATAGAGCTTTGTCGCTTATGTTGCTGGGAGCAGTTGAGTGTAGAATCACCAGCATTAGAGAGACACTAGGTCAATATGGAGTAATTCTGTTACATGAAGGCAAATGGTTAGGACACCACATACTCTGTCCTGGGAGGGATGTCTCAAAGCAGACCAACTGTATAAAAAACATCTACAGCCGTCTACTGCTGCTCCACCTCCTCATGCATATGTCAGACAGGACACTGTTGTTTCCTCTGTACTCCTTCATCATCTAATCTCTCCATCCTATCCACCTGCCCCTAACAACTAGCTTTTCTAAATAACACCTACAAAGCTCCCTCATTCAAATATTGTAGTTGTCTTTTTTGTATCCTGTTAAGATTTTTTAAACCATTCCAATTGGCTTGGAATAGACTTATCAGATTTTGCTACTGTCCCTTCATCATAAACTTATTAATCATCATCATCATCCTCATTGTGATTATTCATAAGACTGCACCCTCTTCTTTCTCTATTCTACTGCTGCTGATAATAACACTGCTTCAAAGTCTGTCTCAATCTGTGGGTCTAAAGACTGTGCCAATATCAATGGAAGTTTGGTTGAGATGGCAGGGTTGGATTTAGACCTCAAATTCTCATTAAAGGCCTTTTTCAATAGATTAAGGGTCATTGAAAGGGGAAGCTCCGATTTTGTAGAGCAAAAAACAAGTGGAGCTGAGGGCACATTAGCAAGATTCTGAGTTTATATTAGTTACGGAACAATACTTTTTTTTTGGTAGCGGGATGGAGAAAGGTTTTTGCTTCACAGTTCAACAAAACCCGGAAGGCTAAAGTGTTCTACAGTTTATTCTGAAGTTATTATTTTTGAGGAAGAAATCCATTGGGGGGAAATGAGTGCAGCAAAAGAGACTTGGTTGGATGAATGGCACATTGCCAGAAACAAATGGCTTTATACTGTATATATGCTACCAGATTTTAAAGAAAGAATCCAGGTCACCCTTTTAATGCCAGAATCGTTAGTTGAAACAATAAAGCAGATACCCCGACTCTTTTTTGGTAAAAAGCTGAGGGATGGGCCTGGAGAAATGTTACCACTCTCAAATATATAGACAGAGCTATGGATGCAAGGACTGACCATCCATGATATCAAAATGGATGTTTTAACCATATTTTGAGGCTATACAGTGTTTGTTTACATTTAAGTTGTTTACAAACATTGGAGCAAAAAAAGGTTCTGATGGGGTACGACAGTGGAATTAAGCTCATGAGGTATTTATAAGTTATATTCTTCAAGAATCAATGGGTATATATAAATAATTCATAAGTCCAAAATTGTATGTAGCAACTAAGGATTCTAGCTTTAACAAGGGCCTTGTGCTTCTGTTGTTGAGTACAGTATAATGGATGGGAGTGTTTCATAATTAGATTTAGTGTTTCAAGTGTTGATGTCTGTAATGATAAAAGATAGAGATCTGTGACATTTATTTCTTCTTTTTTTCAGTTATCAAAATGGGCTAAAGGGTTGTCCTGTTGTGAAGTGAA